CGGGATGCTGTCCTCGCGGCGCAGCCGCGCTCGGCGGCCGGGACGGTCGGCACGGGCTGGTGTCTGGTCCCGGGCCGCTGCTGACAGCGAGCAGAGAAAGACGCCCGCTCGGTCCCTGAGATCAGAACAAGTAAAAAGAGTGACAGTGCGAACAGAAAGTGCAGTCGGTGTCCAGAAACTAGTGGATACCAGAGCTCACGTCGGGGGCTTGAGTACCTCACAGGTCTGCGCGTTTCTTCCGCAGTGAGACGCGCAAGTGAAGGCTCAGGAAAGCACCGTTTACTGTTGTAAATTCTCACGTGGGGTAGTTTGTATGGCCCGGATCCTCCTGAAACAGCAAGTCACACACTCTAGTTTTAGGGGCCAGTGGTTCTCCTCATACTTGTTCTCATGCTATGGGGCTATAGAAATAATCAATTGGCCAATCTAGTGAGGGGAAAATAATGCAATTTTTATTTTCATTAATGTCACCTAAGTTATACAAGAAATAAAAGTAAATTTGCTCAAAGTATCCCGTTTAGGAATTTAAGAAATTCTTGTACCTTCTATGCTTTCTTTAAGAATTATGTGGAAAAAATGGATTCTGGATATATAGATAAGAATATTGCTTTGAATAATCAAGAATTGCAGGAGAGTATAGTGAAAGGCCCATGAATGTACTGAATCGAATCACCAAGCTGAATACCTTACTGGTAGAATTGAGATGGTAGAGGGAAAAGAGTTTAGGTGTTCTATGAAGCATCTACCCCAAAGTGTTTTTCTTTTTTTGCCATTGTTACATTACTATGTTATGTGTTGTCTGTCACACATAATTCAGTGAAAAACTGAGATTTCAACAAGTAACAATCGTTTTTGAAATTGCATTTTACTAACTTCTGGAAGTAGGCTAAAGTTAATAGTAACATTATCCCAGTTAATAATAGCATTATTAAAGTAGCTTTCATTAAAGGATTGTCTTACTGAGATCATAAATTTAATTTTATATCGTTATTAAAATAATGCTCTCAGATCTCAAATATTTAGAAGTTTAGTCCAGGGCTATGCTGTGCAAGCATGGAGGTAAACTATAAGCTCATAAATAACATGGAATTAACCAGGTGATTTTTTCAATGCCTTGTAATTTGATCTTAAAGGGTGGTTAAAAAGGCAATCGATATTCTGGATTGGGAGCATAATTTATACCACAGAACTTATAATGTAATTGCATTGATCAGTTTACTTTATGACCAGCATTACATTTTTCTGTGTTTACATTTATATATTAGTGGATGTGACATTTAAAGGTCACCTGCAGCTTATAAAAAACCTCCCTCTCATTTTTGGCTATTAAAATTTCAATTTAAGCAGCAAGTGATTTTTGCCCTCCCAGTATTCCTGTCTCCTAATTTCATTTTAGATAATATTATAATCATAACAAGACTTAAGTAATAAATGGTATTCATAGCAGTACTAACATGTCATGAAATACTCTGACAAACTGCTTTTATTCACTGAATTTTAAATATAATGGGGAAAAAAAGAAATGTAGAAATTCAGTTTGAAAAACCATTTGCAGTAAGTTTACTTTCTGTAAATCAATGAAAGACATTTAAAAGGCTTATTTCCTTGGACAGTTTAAGCCGAGTACTCAGTAATAACATGAGATTAGCAACTAACCTGTATTGTGCTTACTGTGACTCCATAAAGGTATGCTGCGAAGAGCTTTACATTTCATTCATGATTTAACCCTCCCATCAACCTCAGAAGATAGAGTTCCCATTTTACACATTGGGAAAAAACAGACAGAAAGACATGACTAATAAATTGTGGAATTGGATTTCAACCCATAAGCTATCTTTAGGCCCTTGCTATAAGCCATTAATCTATAGCCTGCTATGTTACTAGGTGTTTACACACCTGACATTGTGGAGTTTATTTTGAAGGGACAGTGTCCTTAATAACTGCTATAGTAACACATCAGTCTCAAGATAGCTTTTTTTTTTGGTGTGGTACATGGGATGGAGCCCAGGTAGGACCTCATGTGTGCTAGACAAGTGCTTACCACAAGCTACACCCCCAGACTGCAGTATAGCCATGGGGCATCTACAAGTGCTTATTGATTGAATCTTTAATAATGCAGGTGTACATGTTGTAGAGAGAAGTCTAGTTTCTGAGGAGAATATTGCAAAGTTTACAAAGCAGCTATGAAATATAGTACTGAACCTAATTATAAATGGAAGAATGGGCCAGATCTCGTAGACATCCAGGAAGAGAGTGCTTTAATGAAACCAAAAATGTGGCAGGGCCATAGGTATAAGTTATTTCTTCTGTGGTCTTGACTAAGTTAAATAGGTGAAAGGCAGGTTTCAAGTTTCTGAGGTTGAGGGTGAGTGAGGCCCAAGGTGGGCATTCTGCATTTTGTGTTCCGCATCCCAGAAGTAACTACCATCTGCTGAGAGTAAGCAAAGAAAACTGGTATTTGTGGAATGTTTGGAACCAGCTGAATAAACATCAGATAAGGCCAGAGGTAGGTGAGATGCTGAAGAAGCAGAGGGAGCATTTGGGACAGCTTTAATTATGTTCTGTAATCAGGGACTTTAAGGTTTCTGCTGGCATTGATAAACTCCATGGGGGGAGGGAGGTAAGTTGAGAAGCAGAGAGAATTCTGGGATCCCTTATCTTTGGGTCCTGGTACTTTGTCAGTGTCCCTGACTCTAAGTCCAATTTAACAATGTAGTTAGTGGGAAGGCAATTGTCTTCTTACATAACTTGTTAGGGGGGGCCCACTGAGTAATTAGTTAATTTATCATCAGAATTACATGTCTCAGGTGAATGAATAATTGAACTGTAACCTACTCGGCCTGTCACCTCTAATTTTAACATTTTAAACAATACAAATGCCGGGATCTCTTTTACGAAGATTATCTTTACATGGGTGTAGAGTGAGTCTTGAACATAGGTAAAGACCACTCCAGGTGATTTGAATTCCTGGCCAGGTTTGAGAACAGCTAATCTACCATTAATCTTTTAGAGTTACTGAATTTAGATTTTTAAACTCTTGATGGCAAATACTACCATAGACATCTATAGACCAGAGTTTCATTAAGTGATTATCTCTCTGCTCTTACACTAAATGCATGCTCTACAAGGTACTCAAGTAAATTATTGAATAGAACACATGTAAATACGCACACACTAGATGAGTTACAGTGAGTAACAGAAAGACTTTCAAGTAATAAGGGTGTGAAGTGTGATCAGGAGTTGAATGAGATAATAAGTTCATGGGATAATGGGCATGCTGGAATTTTAAAGAGCACACTTAAGATTTGTCTGTATATATGGGTGAGTGAGTGTGTATGGACTGGGATTGGGATTGAACCCAGCGCTTTTGCATTGAGCTGTATCCCCTTATTAATATTTTACTTTGAGACAGGGTATTGCTAAGTGGCTTCACTGCCCAAGCAGGGTTTTGAATTTGTGATCCTCCTGCCTGAGCCTCCCAGAATGCTGGAATTACAGGTGTACCCCATCAGCATCTTTTTGTTTTATTTATTACTTTTTACCAGGGTTGGAGGTTGAACCTAGGTAGGCATCTCCTTTAGCACTGTGCTACATCCCCAGGCAATCCCTTTGCATCCCCTTTCATTTTAGACAAAGAAAAGTTCGGTAGGCTTTTCAAAATTTATCTTTTCTATTTAGATATTTTGAATAATTTGTTTGCTTTACAAGTTGGGACCAGATTCCCAGAACTGGGAATAGGCTGAAGTGCTAACAACTCCATCCCCTGACTATGGGATCAGAATCTCAGAAGATTTGTGCAATAACAAGAATCTGGCAGGATATTTTGTGAGACTAGCCTGGAAAAATAGGCTAGAACTCTTGAATTTCTCAACTTCTCAGCTTTGATGCTTTGCTGCCTAAGTAGACTTAAGATTCTTGTATACATAAATTAAGCTCACACTGAATTCCTCAAATGCTTTTCAGTTTGTTGGGCACAAACTGACTGCAGTGATTTAGCTCCTGATCAGCCCTCTTCTCTCCTGTTGTGTGAACTGGATGTCTGCAAGCCTGTAGGGAACTGACTCCCAGCAGGGAGGTGCGTGCTTTCATTTGGTTTTGGTTCTGCCCTTACACTTGCATGGAACAGCCTCTGGGTTTGCAAATATAGGGCCTCTGGGGCCTGCTGTAACCCACAGACATACTGTTTTTTAGGTCTGCACATTATTACATTTTCACTTAATCATTACCAGTGTTTTAGCATTTTGAAATTTTTTGTAAAAACCCAAATTTTTGTCTTTTGGGGAAAAACAAGCTCTGACAGTGCTGGGTTTTACTTTCCCACCTGGCAGCTATCAGTTGGAGCTCAGACACTTCTGTTCTTTTTAAAAGGAATTATTAATGCACCATTCTC